AGGAATTTTCAAAAATCAAAATTGGCTTGTTATTTCACTTTGGTTCTCTCGTTTTTATAGGCCGCTGCCGGGCATATGTCTCTCCAACGTGCAACAAACTGGATGAACTTCAGCTACTGGTGGGGAGAGACAGAGACTTTTCTTCATCCTCTGTTTTGTGCTTTACTGAGACCTGGGCCCCGTTCCTCGTACGTGGCTAACTGAGTTAGCCGGATACTTTTCAGGATAAGATGATGTAGATCAAGCTTTTCGGTTCCACGAAGCAAGTTTGGCAAAATCACCATGGCAACACATCCATAAGCTTGAACCTGCTCCAGCGCAGGCTAACTGAAGGTAGCTGGATAAGCTTGCCACTCCCCCGAAAAAATGGCAGCTCCTGTCATATACGGTAGTCTAATGCGCTTGCGCATATATTGGGGGTTATACGGGAGTTCCGGAAATGCATGTAAAGTGAGACACACGGTGATCCATTAAAACCAGCTGAGCAAACTAAGAAGCCTCTATTGCATTAATGTACAGCTCCCTTCCTCAGAGATCCCACTGATGAAGGAGCGATATTAGTTAGATTAGCGTTTTTAGGGACAGAGTTCTTCCACATCGCCAAGATCCGTTATCACATCATGATGACTTCCTATATGAGCGCTATTGATTCTGCCGACAAGGAATCATTTATTTACAGACCTTCTGGAGCCATAAATTGAACACCACACGCCGCAGCCGAGCATTGACTGTCTCACAGACTGGATGCAGCCTTGCGCTTTTCTGTGAGTCGTACATTTTTGTACAGTGTCGGCGATGTGGAGAACATCGGGAAAGCCGCTGCATGCCGTGCTGTTCGTAAAGTTTATTTGGCACTTAATAAACTTATGGATGTGTTCAATACATTACCATGGCACATATTGTATTGACTCAGCATTCTGAATAATGTGTTTGTGCTTAGTGTTTACTTGCTCCCATGTCCTCTTGATGGCTGCTTTGCATACATGGGGGTTAAAACACTCATAATTATATGACAGTGTTATTAGTACACCATCCATCCATCCATCCATTTTCCTCCGCTTATCCGGGGTCGGGTCACGGTGGCAGCAGGCCAAGCAGGCTGACCCAGACTTCCCTCTCACCGGCAACATGTTCCAGCTCATTCTGTGGGATCCCGAGGCGTTCCCAGGCCAGCTGGGAGATGTACTCCCTCCAGCGTGTTGTGGGTCCTCCCCGGGGTCTCTTGCCAGTTGGACGTGCCTGGAAAACCTCCAGTGGGAGGTGCCCAGGAGGCATCCTAATTAGATGCCCGAACCACCTCAGCTGACTCCTTTCGACGCGAAGGAGTAGCGGCTCGACTCCAAGCTCCCTCCTGATGACCGAGCTCCTTACCCTACGGAGGAAGCTCATTTCGGCCGCTTGCGACCTTGTCCTTTCGGTCATGACCCAGAGTTCGTGACCATAGGTGAGGGTAGGAACGTAGACCGAGTGGTAAATTGAGAGCTTTGCCTTCCGGCTCAGCTCCCTCTTCACCAAGACGGTCCGGTGCAGCGCCTGCTTTACTGCTGCAGCCGCACCGATCCACCTGTCGATCTCCCGCTCCATCTTACCCTCACTCGTGAACAAGACCCCGAGATACTTGAACTCCTTCGCTTGAGGTAGGCACTCCGTCCCCACCTGGAGGAAGCAATCCACCAGTTTCCGGCAGAGAACCATGGCCTCAGATTTGGAGGTGCTAACTCTCATCCCCGCCGCTTCACACTCGGCTGCAAACCGCCCCAGTGAATGCTGGAGGTCACGATCCGAGAAGGCTAACAGGACCACATCATCTGCAAACAGCAGAGAGGCGATGCAGAGGACATGCTGGTTGGGTTTAGGAGTTCCTCAAAGTGCTCTTTCCACCGCCCGACAATGTCCCCCATCTGGGTTAGCAGTCCCCCCCCCCCTCCTGCTGAGAACAGCCTAGGGTAAGCCCCGCTTTCCCTTCCTGAGCCGTCGGATGGTTTGCCAGAACCTCCTTGAGGCCAACCGAAAGTCTTTCTCCATGGCCTCCCCGAACTCCTCCCATGCCCAAGTTTTAGCATTCGCGACCACCGCAGCTGCAGCCCTTCTGGCCTGCCGGTACTTGTCAGCTGCTTCAGGAGACCCCTGGGCCAACCAGGCCTTGAAGGTCTCCTTCTTCAGCTTGATGGCTTCCCTCACCTCCGGTGTCCACCACCGGGTTCTCGGGTTGCCGCCACCACAGGCACCGATGACCTTCCGGCCACAGCTCCTAGTGGCTGCGTCCACAATAAAGGCATTGAACATGGTCCATTCGGATTCCATGTCCCCAACCTCCCTCGGTATGTGTGAGAAGTTCTTCCGGAGGTGGGAGTTAAAGACCTCCCGGACAGGGTCCTCCGCCAGACGTTCCCAGTTCACCCTCACTACACGTTTGAGCTTGCCGGGTCTTTCCAACCGGTTCCCCCGCCATCTGATCCAGCTCACCACCAGGTGGTGATCAGTTGACAGCTCTGCTCCTCTCTTCACCCAAGTGTCCAAGACATACGGCCGCAAATCAAATGATACGATTGCAAAGTCGATCATTGATCTCCGGCCTAAGGTGTTCTGGTACCAGGTACACTTATGAGCCACCTTATGTTCGAACATGGTGTTCGTTATGGCCAAACCGTGGCAAGCACAGAAGTCCGATAACGAGACACCATTCGGGTTCAGATCGGGCAAGCCGGCCCTCCCAATCACCCCCCGCCAGGTTTCTCCGTCATTGCCCACGTGAGCGTTGAAGTCCCCCAGAAGAACTATGGAGTCGGTAGGCGGCGCCCTTTCTAGGACCCCTCCCACCGACTCCATGAAGGCCGGATACTCCGAACTGCTGTTTGGTGCATAAGCACAAACCACAGTCAGAGCCTTGCTCTCTGCAACCCATAGGCGCATGGAGGCGACCCTCTCGTTCTCCGGGGAGAACTCCAACACAGCGGCGCTCAGCCGGGGGCTCGTGAGTATCTCCACTCCCGCCCGGCGCCTCTCACCCTGGGCAACTCCGGAAAAGGACTAAGTCCAACCCCTCTCCAGGAGCTTGGTTCCAGAGCCAGCGCTGTGTGTGGAGGTGAGTCCAACTATATCTAGCTGGTATCGCTCCAACTCCTGCACCAGCTCTGGCTCTTTCCCCGCTAGCGAGGTGACGTTCCACGTCCCTAGAGCTAGTCTATGCTGCCAGCGATCGGCTTGCCCAGGCCTCCCGCCTGACCCGCCGGTCTGCATTGCACCCGACCCCGATGCTTGTCCCTGCGGGTGGTGGGTCCACAGGGTGGCTGCTCCATGCTGTTTCTTCGGGCTGAGCCTGACCGGGCCCCATGGGCGAAGGCCCGGCCACCAGACGCTCGCCGACGAGCTCCCCTCCTGGGTCTGGCTCCGGGAGGGTGCCCCGGTTTCCCTGGTCCGGGCGAGGTGGCTGAAGTCCGTGGGCTGCTTATCATTAGGGTGTTTTGAACCGCTCTTAGTCTGGGCTCTCCCGAGACCTGCCTTGGGAGACCCTACCAGGGGCTAATGCCCCGGAGAACATAGCTCCCAGGATCACTGAGCCACTCAAACTCCTCCACCACGATAAGGTGGCGATTCGCGGAGGAGGTACACCAGCATATCATTATTGTAGAAAATGATTAAGGTGGACTCATGATAAGAATAGAGAGAATCACACACTATTTCTTTTCACTGCTTCAATTGATTGAATTTCTGATTATGAATAATACACACATACATACTGATCCGCCCATACACAGATTCACACACACATATTCAAACTCCTAGTTCTATTTGGTAATCTACACATATATAGTAGGCTACATGATACATAAGGGCATACAGTACATATATCCTCATATTAATTCGTATCAATTAGATACTCTTTGGGCTTGTTTTTATCTACTTATTCTGAAAGAGTTGAGATCATTATTTTCGCTATATCTCATTCGATGATGCATTCCATAAAGCCTACTGCCAGCAGGCACATTTAACGACATATAATATGATTGATTGGGGTGATGAGGCACTTAAAATTAGCCGATACATTTCCCCAACACTTACCCATTTAACTTGTCTGCGATATTTTGCCATGCTTCTTGTCTAGCCCTCGCAGCGGTGGCAGTGTTAGATTTTGCCGTGATTATGGTCTTGAATTCCTCATATGCATTCATGATCATCTCCTGCTCGTCAGCGGAGTAAAAAGAGGCTCTTTCTTTGAGTTTATTTGCCATTGTACTGTTAGAAAATCATGGTTTCGGTGATCGACGCTTCTCCCTTTTGAAGTAGGACGGGCACGCGCTATTATCCTGATCCTGATCGTCTGGTTCGAATTAACGAGACTGTTTGAGAGCGGATCAGCCTTGGAGAAACCGACATAGCCTGACATCAATCATCGGGTTAATTTCAGCTGGCTAATAGGACATTTGATCGACTTAGCTGAACCATGTTTGAGGAACGGGGCCCTGGCTCTGTGGAACGATACCGGACTCTGCAAAACAAAAACGGAAAAATACTGTGCTTTTTAGTTTAAAATGGAAAACGAAAAAAAAACATGGTATTTCTGTATTTTCTTTTTTTTTCTCGATTAAACGATAAAACAAACTATCAAAACGTGCATGGACCGAAATAAATTCTGACTCACGTAATCTTCTCCTATTACTCGGCCTCTTGCCCCGTCTCTCGTGTGTAAATCTCACTGGAGTCGGGAAACTTATCCGAATACCGATATTTGATTAGCTGAGTAGCATCACGGAATGTAAATTACAATGTTGGTCTGTGTGGTTCCTGGACCGCTGAATGAGTGCCGTAAAGGCTAGAAAAGCGGCGCCATCTTGCTTGTGTAATTTCAATATTGGGTGATGATCTCTTTGTTGTACTAGCACAAACTAATGCTCAACAAAATCATATACATCCTCCTTTCAAATAAGGATTTTTTCAGGAAACCCTTATCATTTACCTTTAGAGCTGGATCAAGCATGCAGACAAAGACTAGGTCCATATTTATAAAGTGATCACACTGTCTTTATTCCTTTGCTATGTTATCTAAAGCACTTAAATAATTTGTTGTACTACATTATATTCCCTCAGTACAGCTGCAAGTCCACAAACAGTATAATGTTACCACATCAGATACACTGTATAGCCATCAGTAGCCTGGGGGAACAATGACAAATGCATGTTGGCGTGTGGAATTTCACAAATGAGATATAAAACATCAGAGATATCACTTTATACACATGCAAATAAAACCAGGTGAATGGCAGCAAACATACCACCGAATCAACATATACTCGTGCTTTATGCTCTAAGATCTTCAACAGGAGTTAAAAAGACACCTTTTAACCATCAATAAGTAAGAAAATAAAAGTCGCACACAATCTACATACACTCAATATAAGATATTGCACTGAGAACACAGTATATACAAGACATTTTACAATGCAGCACATTGGTATGATAAGCGAATAGACCCGTCAGTCAAAATCAGTGTTGTGGTAGTGACTGTAGAGTCCTCTGTTCTTCACATGTAATATCAAAATTATTTTACAAAAGCTTCGGTATTGTCATGGTTTAGAATAGTGTCGTTGATGGATATGTAAATATGAATTCATGTTCTCAAAACTGAAGCTCCATATATAATAAAGGAGTTATAAAAACTGAATTAGTAGTTCATTACCGTGGTCTTCTGAGAGGAATGGGCAGCTTGTTTCTTCACTGCTAAAACTAGTTTGGGTTCTCGTGAAGTCTTTTGTTGTGAGCAGCTGCTCTTTTCTCATCAGTGAATTTTGACTACAATCACAAACCAGCACCTTCACACAAGTGAATGGTCTGTCAGGATTTTGATCCCAAATTGTGTTTTTATATTTGACCTGACATTGATATCGTAAATTAAGCAACCCTAGGAATTATGTTTATACATGATTCTGCAGTACATGATTTGTGCCACTTCAGTGCCAATGCAAGAAGCATTCTATCCTTTAATGTAGCAAAGTAAGGTTGTGGAGGCTAGAGGGGTGGATTGGTGTGCAGCACATCTAACTTTCCTGCAGAGGATTGAAGATTGTGACCCTAACCCATACCAACAGGTTACCCCTTTTCTTACCATCCTCGTCTAGATGGCCAATCCCACCTTGGTACACCTTTCTATCTCCTTGATCAGCCTTGCATCTTTGAGTCTTGGACTCTCTTTCTGGTCCTGGCTTTTAATCCCTTGACCACACCACTCTGCCCAAACTCCAACTGTGGCGGCTAGGATGCCCCACCACAGTCAGGTTTGCCTTAGATGTCCCAGTGTCTACTGGATTCTTTTTCTTCCACACGGAAGTCTTGAGTGACGTGTGCTGACCTGTGCCTTAGCGCCATCTTTCAGGCTGCCTAGTCGATGGAGACTCTTTACCTAACCCGAAACCTCACGTAACCATGATCTTTACTAAACCTTTCTCAGAGTGGCCTATCCTTTAACCATTGCTTTAACCATGGTTAAAGGATAGGCTTTAACAATTATCCTTTAACCATTGCTTATTTTCCATAACCATCATCTTTTTTCCATCCATAGCCATCACGTAATTGATAAACACAGATATAGAAATAGATCCTTACGTTCAGTGTTGGCACTGAACGTAATCCAGGGTTTTGCTGAATCGTCCAGTATCAACATTCCATCTGGTGATAAGGTTTGTTTAACAGATGTGAGGTTTTGAAGACCGACACGACATTCTGAGCTACTGAACTCTCCAATAGTGGGTTCTGTGGTGATGTTTTTGGGTCAATATCTTTAAATTGGAAATTTTTCAAGAATTCAGTGTGTCTACCAAACATTTAAACTTATCAGGATGGAAAAGCCTTTGAAACAGCATCAGAAGACACTAAAACACATGGGACACTGGAACCTACAGAAAGGATCTTGAGGTTTAGCAGCTCTTTAAAGCAAGGTGACATACTGTACCGCATTAATGGTACGGAAAGTCAGGAATATATTAAATGGTAGTTTTGATTAAATACTATTTGGGTCTTATTGTGCAGTTTTCGTCATTGATATCATGATAACCAATATCCAATAATATTATTCAATCCTTATGGGTGCAGTCACTTTCAGTTTTTACCTCCACGTAAAGTGGTTTGGACAGTACTCCCTGTTTACAAGCTCTCTTTGTTGTAATAAACCGGAATTATGTTTTAATATTTTATATGACAAATTTTATAAAAACAAAAAACAACAATTTCACAAATAAATAAATAAAATATGTGTGTGTATGACTGCATACAATTTAAGCTCTTTTCATGAAGCTGATGAATTGATGAACCTCAATTATATCAGCAGTGGCATAAAGGACAATACTGTCAAACCAATACCTCAGTCTAAGGGTTGTTTACAGGGGCAGTGGTACATGTACTGTACAACAAATGTGGTTGGGCCACCAAAAAATAATATAATCAATGAATGTCACTTTAAACTAAATGTTCAGTTTTTGCAGGAGAGTCCAAAAACTCCATTTGATCCACATGGGGAACACTTGTCCTTATATTAGGAGGTTGGGTCCAAATTCAGAAAAATAAAGCCCCTTCATATTTCCAAGCTGTTTAGGTTCCTTTAAAGAAATGAACACAATGGACTGAATCTTGTCCAGTTTAAATATGTGCAGTTCTTTCATAGATGATGTCTTTTCAGTATTTGCACAGTCATTCGTCTCATGTAGACCATCTGTTTTACAAAATGTAGTGTATCTATGACTGCTCACTGCCACTAAGTGGAGTCTGGATCTTGTGAACAGGACCCACAGCATCTCTGTTGGTACATATCCAGGTAACACAGCTTCAGTCTCTTCACCACACTGCAGTACTGGGTGGTGTCCTTGCATTCACCTGCATGTGAACAAAACACTCGATATAATCACCAAAGAAAAAATATTTTACAGGTCCCAGAATTCCCTTGAAAGACACTGATGTAACTGTATTTTCTTAGAAATGTCCCTGGGATGGACTACTGTGTAATTTGGTAATAATTAAAGGCAGGAACAGAATTATGGGTAAGTACTGTACTTACTGTATATTATATTCATATAATATACTGGAAATTGGAACATCATTTCATGTGTATTATCTCTATACTTCACATTTCTTTAGCTATTATGGCATATAGCATATATAGCATCTTAGTTACGGGACCCAAGGCAGTTGCTTACCTTGCCTGATAGTCTACCCTCATTATTTGGTAAACAGACAGATCTATTAGAACACTTCCAATGAATAGATTATAATGAATTGCTAGTGTAACATTGATTTTTTTTTTGTCACTGCACATCAGTGTAGTTGTAAATTACAATGAAGCATGCATTTTCCAATAATAACATATTTACTTGGGATTAAATGGATTTCAGTCATTCATTCAAGGAAATAATATGCTCAGAAACTGTACACTGTTTAACTGGTTAACACTAATATAATTCAAATAAAACAGTTTCTTGATTACAAAATGTAATTTTCCTTGTGGTGTCTCACATACACACACACACACACACACACACACACACACACACACACACACACAGAGACTTACTTCCACAGCTGGTGGTGTTGCAGTGCTGCCAGGTGGGGGGCTGCTGGAGCCAGGCACAGTGCTGGTTGGCCAGAGTCCTGCCACTCCTGCGGTGTACACAGTCCACCCTGCGAGACTGAAAGCCACTCCCACAGACTACAGTGCATGCCCGCCACGCACCGGGACGCCATTGGACATTACACAGGTCAGAGGAACAGTTGCGTACAGACGCAGGCCTGGAAGACAGAAGTTTTAGTTTTAGTGCTACACAGTCATTACTTTTGAACTCATTGCACTTTTGCACTCCACTTTTCATAGATCTCCTGGAGCTGTTTCACAAAGCAGGTTTAATGTGTTCTCTGGAGAACCATGCAGGGTAAAACCTGGAACCCCATTACGAGTTTCAAGCAAATTTAACAATTAGTTTTTCTATAATTAGGGAGACATATTGTTGTTTATTAAAGGAACCACTCAACATTTTGGGAAATACCTTTATATTTTTTTCCCCCATAAATTAGATGAGGTGAGCAGAGCTGGAGTCAGTTAGTTGGAGTTAGCCTAGCTTAGAATAAAGACTTGAAGCAAGGGGGAAATGGGTCGATCCAAAGTTCAAAAATAAACCCTGTAAACACCCTTAAAACTCACTCATTAGCCTGCTGTGTCTTGTTTGTTTAACGCATAAAAAAACATAAATGTTCAATGACAATCACTGAAAAACTGATTCTACAAGGAATTATGTGTCGGAAAATCTTTTTTTACGAAACAGTTCATCCATCTGTAATGCGGCTGTGGGTTTTGTCCCCCATTATTATCAGATGAAGGCTGTAGCAGAACAGAAATGCACAGAATAGCCCTTTTCCAACCTGGCAGGAAAAGAAGGTGGGGCAAGAGAGGCTATAAATGAGACACACCTGTGAGCTGGGAAAAGGAAAAAAACAATCAACTAACCAAAGCTGCATGGAGGAGAACCAAGAGAGGAGTGAGAGTTTTAATGGAGTTACCGAAAGTATAATTCAGTTTCTGGACCATTTAAGCTTAAAATAAGAAAATGTTGAAGAAGACTAAACTAAATCGGAGCAGCAAGGATCCATGAACCAACTGAATACACAGAGCTTTCTTGGAGGACCAGGCCTTACTGAAGGTGTGCTGATCCCGGGAGCAGGTGGTGGAACAAGGAATCGTGTTTTGCTACAGCTTGGACCAGTTTGGGGCCTCCTTAACTTTGGGGATTCATCAAGATAAGTCCCTTTAACATGAAACTCTGCAGGCTTCTCCTTCTTATTCTCCCAGCACACTTACACACCCTCAAATAAACTGAACTGAAATAAACTGAACTGAATTGAACTGAACGGAACTGAAATGAACTGCCATATATTCCCTTAGCTTGGAACGGAACTAGAACCCCCCCAACCCAACACACTCGCACACGCATGCCACTCACACCTTATCACTTACCCATAAACTATTGACCTTTACCTAGAGTCCTCATACATTTTTGTTATTAAATGGACATTTGATTTCTATATTTGGACTCGGTCATGTGGTGTATTTGATTTAATGAACCTTTGGGTGTATAATTCTGTATTTAGAAAGAAATTATCTGTTTTGATTTGATTTATGATTGTTGAGTAAAATATAATTGACTTAAATGAAATTGGTTGATTTTTGCTTACTTTGCATTTTGTAGCCGGGTTTGCAGGCTAGTCGGGTTAGTTCTCTCTCCAACTGTTCGCAGTGATATTTGTTTATTAAATTGACAGGGTGGAATTTTATTATTCTCCCGTCTGGAGCCCAACGTGTATTTTGAAGAGTTGTGAGAGAAACCTACGCTACAAGGCTATACTGTCTATGAATAAATACTGGCCGTGAATAAATGGAATTTGTACGTTGAAATAGTTTTTCAACGTACAAATTCCATAAATATTCATTAACAAAATGTGAATCGAAAATGTAAATCGAACCTCTAATTTATAAAATCTAGAGGTGTTGCTGGACATACTTGTGAACTTGGATCAGTCTTTATGCTAAGCTAGGCTAACCACATCCTGACTCCAGCTCAATACCTAACACACAGACAGGATATTGATATAAATTGTCTCATCTCACTCTTGAAAAGAAACCAATTTAGTCAGTGCGCTTAAAAGAAACCATACTCAACAGGAATCCTGGCAGGAATTGAATTCTTTGTAAACAGAAAATCTCATGCTAATCTTATTAAAACAATGCTCATCACTTTATTAGGTACACCTATATAATCTAATGCAATCCATTGGATTGCATTAGATTACAAAAATTTATAATCCCCAGTTTTTGTTACAACTTTGCGAGAGGTGTTCTATTCTAGTCGTGTGAGAATGCTGATCTGATAGTAATATAGTCATTAGTCTTATTGGTCTATTAATAATAATAATAATAATAATAGGCCTTTTCGTTGTGTTTGAACATGTGTGTATACCTGTCTCTGAGATCACAGTCTGTGTACGAGGAGCCATTGGCATGTTGGCAGATGACAGATCTCTTCTGTATAGTGGCAGTGGGGCCCAGACACCTCCCTGAACACTGAAATTGAGAAACATAGAATTGACACGTAACACTACATTTTCTACATTGTGTAACATACACACATAATTCTGTGTTGGAGTGCATACCTTTCCCCACGCACTGGTTACCCAGGTTGGACAGTTATTGGCGGTGCACTGCTCGGAGTCTGTGGGCCGGCTCGTCCTCTCACAGGCGGCTGCTGTCAGAGTCCTCACAGCACCTCTGGCATCCAACTGCTGACAGGAGACCTGCCTCCTCTTCCAGCCACCTCCACATGAGGCTGAACACTTCGACCACTCTGATACCAACCATCTGAAATGATGACAAGAAAAGAAATACACATAACAGAACTATCTCTTCTCTCTCTCTTTCTCTGTTGCTCTCAATTCAATACAATTAAATTCAATGTGGCTTTACAATTATATTAATATGAACATTAACATAAAGATAAGCTTGTTATGTAGTTAATACATACATATTTGAATTTGACAAAATCAGTGTTCCTTGTTTCACTGTTGCGCATCTCTGTCTCAGCCTCACCTGTCCAACAGTGACCACACACTCACCCATGGTTTTTTGCGTGTACCTATTTGGGTTTCTAGTTTGTGGTCACAGAGCCTGTACTTGGTAAGGATCTGTCTCCACTTTCTATCTCTGACAATTCATCATCTCTTTTTAGGGCCAGATAACATTCTAGTCTACCTTTGCTTTTAGTTTCTTCATCCCAATGTTCTAAATAGCTCTTTGCATTGTGTTATTTGTTTTACTCTGATTGGTGTTTGGATAGCAGTGTAGTTGTGAGGCTGGTCGGAGTATGTCTGAGAGGGGGCGGTTAGCCTCAGCACTGGGCTCAGCTCTTAGGTTTGGAGGGCTTTGGAGTGGGGTCTGGATTTAAAGTGTTTAAAAAAATGGAGCGCTCTCTTTTGAATGTAAACTATCAGTGGGTATGTGCCTAAATCTGCTCGAAATGCATTTGTTGGTATGTGGTGACTGGGTGGACCCCATACTTCACTCTTCTTCAAAATAAGGAGACTCGACTGGAGGTATATAAATAGCACAGAAATATATATATTCCTATCAGTTATGCCAACAGTTTGATCTAACCTTCACCAAATGTGTGATTTATCCTTTCTTAATGGTGAGATCTGACAGAAAAATTCTCCTTCATCTTTCTATAATTAAGTATGTTATTTCAAGATAAACAATTACAGTGAAAGTTTTTTTACTTAAAATGAGAGAAGAATATTTATTATTAGTTATGAATTATTTATAATTCATCCAGATCAATTTGAAATCTGACAATAAATATTGTTGCGATATTATTCAACTGAACTTTCTTGATGACTGATTTGACAGTCAGTTGTTGACTACCTACAGACACTGATACAACTGCTAGGCTACTTCAATATATATGGAACTAAATCATAGCGAAAATGACATATTATTGTGATGTTCTGGAACTTTGCATGAGGAACTTCTCTCTAACTGGACCTCGTTGAATATTAATTGAAACCCTGCCATACTCCCTGTGCAGGAGCTGGCTTTGTGTCGTACCTAATTTAATGACGTGCTTTCAGAAATGACATCATGATGTCTATATGTTAGAGTACCTGGGAGGGCAGTCCTGTCTGTTGCAGGTGACTGGGGAAGTGATGGGTATTGGTATGTGCTGACACATGGTGGGCTGAACAACCTTCCCATCCAGACTGACACAGTGAATCCTCCGCAGCCAAGTTCCTCTATTCCCACAAGAAGCACTGCATGTGGACCATTCTCCAAAATGCCAGCTTAACTCTGTGGACCCAAATGTACAGCACAATCCATAGCATAAAGGAAACGATACTGGAAAGAAGATTTCTGAACACCATGAGAGCCAAACAGCTTTAGTCACCATCCAACTGCCTGAGGCAAAGTCCAGACAGCTGATGGAGGCACTATAATTATATGATGTACGAAGTTACTCTGTGGAAGGCTTAACACAACATACTGATGGGAACCAATTGATTTTCTGTCCATTTATTCGTCCCTCTGCCAATTTGTCCATCCACAGGGCAGATTGTTTTTTACCTGTCTGAAATGGACTTTGATAAAGCTTTGGGTAGTGTTGTGTGTAGAGCTGCATCCGATGATTTATTAATTATAAACTGGGGTATTTGCATGAGATATTTACTTGGAAATTTAAAAAATTTAAAAAAAGAAATGTTAATGAAGCAGTGAATAGGATTTAGTGGCATCTAGTGGTGAGTTTCAGATTAAATCCAACTGAATACCCTCCGCTCACCACTACATTTCCAAGCGTGTCGGAAAACTATGGAGACCTTCAGGTTACGTAAAATATGTGAAAGGAAGCACTACCTTCTCTATATAAATAAGACTGGCACTTGACATGGGGGTGTCCTGGGGTTAAACCCTGTTGGGTGCAGGTTGCAAGCATTTTTTCAGATGTTTTAGGGTTTAATATACCTCTAAAATAATACTGTCAAAAGATGATCATTCATTCATTACAAATGGTGATCAGAAGAAAATTATATTTTGTGGATTTGACTATGTCAATTTATTTAATTTGCAGCAATGAACCTCATATTATAATATTCTCTCAGTAGAGGTATCCATTTCTAGATCACATGGAGTCTCAGCTTATTTTGGTTGAACTGTCAGTGTATTTGTTTTTGAATTTCTCACTGCAGTCAATCAGATTATTGAACGATTGAGAAATGACAATGTTTTAGGGTCAGTAGTTTGCTCTACTGTCTTCCACAAATCTGTTCCGATTGTGTTATTGAGTTGTTTTATTATATACACATGCAGTCTGAGAACCCATCACTGGTTTGACGATGGACGAGCCTCTCGGGGTAAGGGGCTAAATTTCTGGGGTTCCGGTGCTGCCACGATTTCCTTTACTCAAGTCCGATTTTGTTTTTTTTTTACTTGAGATCCGAGACTGGAGTCTGTGCAATCATACTTTTCTCTTGATCAATAATGTTTTTTGAATAACAGTGTCATATCATTAAGCAGAAGTCTTCTGTTTGGCACTGTTTTCTATTTTCTTTCAGGCCTCATATCTATTGATCCAGCCTCAGGATACTACATCAGTCAAGTCATTGTTTTACTGTGGACTTGAGAAAACAAATTGTCTAACAGCTATTACCTCACCCTGCCCTTTCCAAGCGTGTCAGAGAACTGTTCTGGCCTTCAGGTAGTGATATGTATCTTTAAGATTCTATTAGGAGATATCTATTAGGAAATATCAATATGTTTTCATGACTAAATAACTGCTTTTAAAAACAAAAAATCAGAACAGGATAAGAATGTATTTATATTTCAAAAATAATATATATATACACACACTTCCCACATGCAATCAACTTTATGCTCACCTTCAATGTGAGCGTATATCCAGGCAGACAGCATTTGTCTGGTACTGTTGATAAGGGTCTGGCATCGGTACCGGCCTGAGAACTTAACCTGGAGTGTATTGACCTCAAGGACACGACCTCCCACCAGCATCCTGTACTGTAGACCTTGACCCGGACCAGGACCTTGGGTCTGTTCTGGAATTGAAACCTCCTTTAGGGTCATGTTGTTGTAGTCCCACAGCACTGGAAGTTTGTGGTCAGCGAGCACTGGACACCCTTTTGAAAGACCCAAGCAGACTGAATGTAAATATGAACCGTTGAAAATACTGTATTTCAAGAGGAATTCTGTTTACAGGTGAAAGAGATTACTACTGCATTTAAGTGGATGTCACTTAAGGCAACGTAGGTTTGGGCTCAACACTACAAGTTTGAAAAAGAAAACAATCTGGGGATGTGGAGTTAGAAAGAAGTGAGCTTACTAGCCTACATTAGCCCCTACTATGACACAGACAAAAACTGTTGGTGGTTGCATTGTGGGAAATTGAGGCATCATCACAAAGAGGAATATTGTGTAGAGTAAAAAAAGACAATATCTCTGTAGCATTGATTTTGATAGTTTTTTTTTAACTGTCCTGTTACTGTAGTGCATTGCTAAATTGGTGGATGTGAGAGTATTGATGGAAAAGAACTAACAAAATTTGACATTAGTTGGTAATCTTTCCTTGAATTAAATATCTCAAATCAAAATATCTATAAACAATAAAAACAGGATGAAAGCAATAATGTAGCTCAATGACATACAAGTAAATACAAATTTGATTTAGGCAGTGGAGAGATGTAAATATTTTGTAATCAGTTTTAGTCATTATAGAAACAAAACTTCAAACATTTAAACACAGCTGAATACACATTTCCACTGTGCCACTTTGTTAGTCTGCACCTGGTCTTCTCCCAAGGTTACAAGGTTATTTTATTTGAGTTGTACAACAGGGTTATAGAAAAAAAAAAAATACCGAAGTTATAATCGTAACTCTCGTGTTATGTACGCAGGGTTTGGAGGTATTTGTCTCTGATTATCTGGCTTCATAGAATTAAAATGGAAGTGAATGTATTGAGTTTGTCTGCTATTGTTTGAACATGAGGATGTGCAGGATGTCTTGTTGGAGTACCTATACGTAGAATGTCTCCAGGCTTGACAAAGACACTCGTTCCACGGTGTGACGCCATGAGGACCCTTCTTCTGTTCAGCTCTTGTGAGACTGGAACTACCCTGCTTCCCCCAGCAGGGTATTGACCTGAATACACACAAACACACACATTCACATGAAGAAGTGCACACACTCAAAGAGTTATTCCAGATAAAAACTATGATCAAAATGAACAGCTTTTCCTTATCTTAGTATGTGTGTTGATATTTGATAAAACCTTTTGTACTTGTGTGTGAACCCACCAGAGACCTGCAGGACAGTAGAAGCAGTGGACTTTCCGATGGCGCTAGTGGCGGTGCATGAGTAGTGGCCTTGGTTGTGCAGAGAAACATTTCTGATCCACAGTGAGCCAGAGGGTAGTGAAACAGCAGTGGCCCCTAATGGTCCATTCTTTTTGTTCCAAGTCACTGTGGGCGGAGGAACACCTGACAGACAAAGAACGCAGAGGGACCAATAAAAAGTATGGGTAACAACTTTATATTACAGGCCCTTATTACAGTGTATTTATTTTGCTTAGGGTATCAATAAAATACTTACTGGATTACCTAGACAAGTACAGTATGTAAGTTCAAGATTTCTATAGATATAGTTTGACCTTCTAAGTGTGTATAATGAAAGTCAATTCATCACATACCTAATGCAGAAGGAGGTACAGGCTAAGCCAGCCCCCCTTTCAAATCGGCTATATGTACCCCTGAATGCATATTTGATACCTCAGTGTTCTTTTCTTTCATCACTGTACGTACCCAGTAAGTATTTCATTGATACCCTGTATGCACAGAATATTTCCACCGTAATGTATGAACTGTGGAAACGGCTACTGAAGTGGGACAAACATCTTAACAGTCAAGGTTGAGGCAAAGCTTCACCATCATCTGTAATGTCAGACGCTGCCGAAAGCTCCTATTGTAAGGACACATTCACACCAACCTTGTTTAGGCCGGTTTAACTGAAAGAAAAGTACTAATATGCCCTACGCAGATGGAAATGATAAATGGTAAACTGACTTGTACTTTTCTAGTCTTCCAACTACTCAAAGCACTTTAATGCACATGTCATTCACCCATTCACGGGCTACCATGCAAGGTGCCACCTGAATTAAACATTCATACCCATTCACTTGGGGTTAAGCATCTTGCATATTGTAAAAACAAATGCTTGGAAATGTTTTTTATTCACGAATAATTTTTACGAATAACGTGGTTTTGAGTCATTATTTTGAGCCTCACCAATCCAACTTCTTTGCAGATGTATAACCTTGCCTTGCAATTTTGCAAGCGGTCACTACCTGACTTAATTAATGAGTGATACCACTACATCTGATTTCATTGCTGCAGAAATTGTAACACAGAAAGTGGAGCAGTTCGATCCCTGCTCATCCTGTCCACAAAGTCAAGATACAGAACCCCATAATAATGGGCCAGCACCTTAAGGGTAGCTTGCTGTCATCGCCATGAGTAGGTCAATGAGAAGCCCATTTTAAAGTACAAAAAAAGCGCTAAATAAATGCAGTCCAATCACGTCTATCAAGTGAGAAAATATACTTTTTCCTCATTTGGGTGAACTGGCCCTTTTAAAAGAAACGTTTTCAATGGAAACCTTATTGTAGCCTACCAGTAACGGGGCAGTCCAGAGTGAGGTTGGCGCCAAGACGAACACTGACTCGTCCCCCAACCGTGGACCTCAAGCTGTGGCCTAACACCAGCCCATGGTCTGAAACATTCCTCCATGACACTGCGATGGCTGGTGGCTCTGAAGTTTCACACATAGAGAAAGACTATCAGTCACTACTGCGGTAATGAATTTGAAAATGTAATCTCTTTTGCAGTGCTTTTGTCATTTGTGTGTTTTGTTTATGCATGTTTTATGCATGTCCTATCTAACAAAACTAGACAGGACAAAATTGTTTTCAAGTGGGATGCACAAGACATATATTGAAAGAGAAGAATGTTTTTATTTATCGATTCATTATTTTATTTCCCCCCCTGCAAATCTTATAGTAAAGTCGGAAGGCTTTAACTGCCTATGCTTACATGGTTCAGATTAAATAAACTATCTTTGAATATCAAAAAATCTAATTTTATTATTTTCAGTGGCAAAAAATTGTACTCTAAGGATTTATCTAAAATTAAAATTGAATCTGTTGAGATGCCTCAAGTGTCATCTACAAAATTCCTAGGAATTATTATTGATGAGAGTTTAAGTTGGAGTAAACATATTGACTGTGTTAGTAGAAAAATAAACAAATCTATTGGAATAATGAGGGTTAGACATCTTGTCTCTGCAAACTGTCTCCTTATTCTTTATTACAGTATCATTTATCCCTATCTTTCATATTGTAATATAGTTTGGGCAAGTACTTTTCCTACTACTCTGTAAAAAATGTTGGTCCTCCAGAAACGTTTTGCTAGGATCGCAACCCGATCAAAGTCACACATCTCATCTGCTCCTCTATTTCAGAAATTGCAGATTCTTACTATTTATGACATCAATATTTCACAAACTTGTGTTTTCATTTATAAGATACTTTCAGGTGAAGGGAATATTCCTGATCATTTCAAGACCTACTATAAATTCAATTCACAGGTTCACTCTTACTCAACTCGTCAATCTTCACATCTTCATCCTCCTAAGTTACTGACTAGCAGAGGTCAATTCAATAAGATTTAGGGGAACCAAACTATGGAATGACTTTTCCCACCTAACAAAAAAATGTCCCTCTATAAAATGTTTTAAAAGATGCCTAAAAGAAAATCTGATTGCTGTTTTGTAACAGCTTGTTTATGTATTAGTGTTCATGTCTTTCTTGTTTTAGCTGTTATATTACACATGCACACACATGCTCACTCACACTCGACACAATTACATTATTTTTTTTCTTTTCTTTCTTTCTTTGTTTTGTTGTAATGTAATGTCTTATGCATGTTTTATTTTTTCTTTGTAATTTTGTAAAATTTTAATATTATGTAGGTGGAGGCTTCAAATAAGCCCAGTTGGCTTTCTGTCTCTTCCTGCACTGTGATATTCATTTATCTCTGTTATGTTTGATTATTTTAAATTTTGTTGTTTGAATTGTGCAAAATAAATAACTAACTCTAAAGGCTTACCGTAATAGTGGGTGCTGTATGTGCTATTCTTTGCTTAAAATTGTGCTATACAAATAAACTTCATAGGTAAATGTATTTTAATTTGATTAGAAATGTTTTACTGTGACAGAAAAATGAAATATTAATAATAGATTTGCATAATAATGATACGTAGGATATCTAAAACAAAGGACACACCTGCCACCAGTAGCTGAGATGTCTCTGAGTCTGAGCCATGTGTGTTGGTAGCTGTGCACTTGTACTGGCCTCTGTCAGACATTCTGGGCTGAAGGATATGGAGTCCTCCGGAGCTATCCCAGGATACCCTGCAGACGGACGGGGAAAACATGTTTTTTTTATAGGACCAAAAAAGTAGCTTGCAGTACTTTCTGAGAGGTACAACTTATACAGAAGAGGGACTCATACATTACTTTAGATAAGGACTTAAATTTTGAGCTGCAAATCAAGAGACAGAAGTTACATTTCAGTTTACTTTCTACATGCCAAGGATGAGATTCTGACAGCAGCCATCTAAGTCAAAAATTCAGGACACATTATATTTTGACTTGCTAACAGTATGAACACACAACACACTCTCTCACACACACACAGTCGGGTTTATGACTTTTGGGAACATCACATTGACTTACATTCATTTCCTGGCGACTTATCCTAACCATCACTGCCTTTACTCTAACCTCAACATAAACCTGAACTTATCCTTACCTTAACCAAGTCTACACCCTTAAATGTAATGATTTATGTTATGGGGACGTGCAATTGTCCCCATTTTATCTGAAAAAAAGTGACTGTGTGTCAAGGGGCCACCTCAGAGTGGTAGTAGTCTTCACAGCTTGCAGCTGTCTGTACAATGCTGTATTTGAAGGAGTCTCTTGCCTACGACGTCAAGATAATCAGCCATATTTATGAGCTCAACTGCCAGCTGCTCGTCCACCACACTGAGTGTGTGCTCTGCATGCAAAGAGCTGGGGTTGGTGTTGGAATTGACAGCACTGCTCATAAACATTTCAGATCCAGGTTTGTAGTTTAACTCACAGGTTGGAATTCTGGAGAGGCCTGGGAGAAGATCGCTATTAGGGGCTTGTGATCTGTCTCCACTTTGATATTATACTCATACATTACAACTATTGCAATATTATCAAAAAATGCAACTTATCGAGCTTTAATTTAGTTTTTCATTATGACCAATGTTTGTTTATTTTATAAGATATAGTTTAGCTCCCCACTCTTTAAACAATGTATTCTAACAGCTCATGGTGAAATAAGACATCAATGAGGAGAGACTGTGAATATACATTGCTCGACAAAATGTGCTCAAATTGCTTTTTCAGTTACAGCAACACAAGTTCTCCGAGACGGTCTCTTGAGAGTGCTCCAGCCGAGGACTTGAACGTGACTGACCTGCTGGCTGCTCGTGCCCCCAGCAGGCGCTAGCTTGCTGTGGCACCAGTTGTGGAGCCTCTCAAAAAAAATTTGGATTCGCCACCAATTTTCATAAAACTGCCAATATTTGCAATCTACAGAGTTTTTTTGTCTTTCAGAAGTGAATTTAGCGAGTAAATAGCATAAGACATTTAAAAAAAAATAGTTGGTGTTGTCCACTGTTTCTGACCATAGACTGTGACTTGACAGCGCTTTGAATTGTGGGAAACAGTAGGTGAGGTCAGTATTTATGAACTCAACTACGTATGCCAAAAATCCAGGTATTTTTGGCATACATAGATTTGGCTTTTGTTTGCATATTGCATACTACATATTAACTTTTGGCTAAATCATTATGTACTAGTATACTTTGCGGTTTTGAATACAGCTTCAGATTCAAGTTCTGTTTGTAGACACGTCGACACTCCGCTCGCATAACACTCCTCAGAGAAGCCGCCTGAACATCCTCGAGCTTGTTCTACAGCCCTGTTGATAGGTCACAATCTTTATTTTCTGCTCGGTAGTTTTCCCAATTCACACTCTTTACTTTTTACTCATTACTGCTGAGTTTCATCAGAGCTGGCGGAGATATAATCGCAGCCATGACTATATACTGCCACTATAGTATAGCCCGCCTTGCCACGCGAAAAAACTCACTTGAAAAGCTTAATATACAAGTAGGTAATGAATCGCCCAGCAGCATGGTGTTGACTTTGGGAACCGGCGGAGCAGCGATTTTTGCAATTTTTTTGCATTTGTAATTGTATTTGATTTGAATGAAACTCAAGGATATGTTTTAGGTACTCTTGTGGAAATATCCTGCAAGTTTTGTGATGATTGGATGTGATGAACGGTTGCTGAATTTGGTCTAGTTATGTGCTGAGCCAAGCCCTTTTGAAGTTCATTGATATATATTGTGAAAACTAAACAAGATATGAACAAGCTTTTGATGCATTTTGATACCCTTAGTCCAATACTGATCCACCAGAAATTTGCTAGCAATGAGACCTACGGTTTAGGAGGAGCTGTCAAAAATGTGTTTTTCAAAAAATTCAAAATGGCAAAAATGTGAAATCTAGGGATTCTTGCGGCTTTTATGTAGAACATATGGAGCTGGACATGTGTATCAAGTTAATTGGACTTAGAGTGTGAGAAGCAACTTCTTTCACAACATAACATTTTTGGGCTTTTTGGGCTGGCGGTACATTACATTACATTACAGTCATTTAGCAGACGCTTTTATCCAAAGTGACTTACAATTCAGATTCTATCACATTCATACTGTAGGCACAGCTACGGGAGAAATTTTGGGGTTAAGTGTCTTGCTCAATGACATATCGACTTGCGACTGCCGGAGCCGGGGATCGAACCGCCGATCCTCTGATTGAAGGATGGCCCTGCTCTCCACTTATTCACGGTCGCCCACGTAATGCAACATTTTTGGATGCCACAGAAACAAAAAAAAGTATAACTTTATCTATAACTGGATACGTACATGCAACTGTTTTCGTGCTTGCAAATTTATGTTAAGAGTAAACAGCTCACAAATCTGAATCTTTTATGGAATTAATATTACAGCAAATTATTCAACATACAGCTATGGAGGCTTATTCATGTTGTTAATGATGCATCATGTTTTAGATGTCCATCCTGTCTGTCCTCAGAATCAGCAGCTGAGCTGTCAGTACTTTCTCCGCACAAACATCTATTTTTATTATCTACCACCACAAGACGACAGTTAGTTTCTGCTTTGTGCACACAAATCCCAAGATCTGAATTAAATCTTGGGATTTGTACACTTTAGAGTAGACACTTCATGGCCCAGCCTGATTGGGCTGCTCACAGTCAGTCCACAGTCCAGAGACTGTCAGTGCCCGTTGTGAGGAAAGATTGTAGTCAGCAAGAACTGGGCAAGGTATGTAGAAAAGCACTCTCTCTGGTGTGATTGACAGAGCCTCGAGCAAATTGGTGATGGCCACCATATGCAGCTGCCTACTCCCACGATGGACTGTATTTAATGATGGATGACATAACAGCTACCAAGAGGTGAAGTCAAAACATCTTAATTGCCCCCTGGGGGCAATTAAGATGCAGGTTTATGCAGGTTTATGGCCTGCATAAATGATGCAGGTTTATGGCCTGCAGTGCAGGCCATAAACCCCACCCTGTACATGTTAGCAGAAGAGACATGAGCCAAACAAAAAAATTAAAGTACACGTCAATTCATTTTATCCCAAAGATTTTTGTTTTGATTTTGACTGTTTCTATGACACAGAGTTCACTGCAAGTATGTAAAATGTCTAGGGTTATATTATGGTAAATGGTAAATGGACTGTACTTGTATAGCACTTTTCTAGTCTCTCCGACCTCTCAAAGCGCTTTCACACTACTTGTCATCATTCACCCATTCACACAAGGGACTACCATGCCACTTGCCCATCAGACTATAACATTCACACACCGTAAGGAGCAATTTTGGGGTTAAGTTTCGTGCTCATGGACACATTATTTGGCATATATGATCAAAATACATAAGTTTGAAAGAACTTTGTGAAACACTTATTTGACTGGTATGTCAGCAGTAGCTCCAGTATGTTACCTGTCAGTGTGCCGCAACAGAGTTCCATCTTTGGTCCAGCTGATTTTGGGAGGAGGGAAGCCTTCTGCAGGACAGCGTATGGTCAGTGATCGGGTAGTATTGGTAAGGAGGGTGCTGTGTCCAATGCTAATGTTGATGTTCTTCTGAAAAGCCAGTGGATGGGTCCGCTGCTGTCTGATGATTACAGGTCTATTCGCATATGTTTCCGATGAAGAGCGTTCTGACCAGTTGGGCAGTCTGTCTGTGAGACAAATCAGATACAAACACAACATCAAGCTTAATCCTTAGATTTAAGACCAAGAGAAATATGCTGATTTGCAAATAACATACTAAGATATTGTCCTTATATTAAAAGTTATCCTATTTAATATATTATATTTTCATGTTATTCTTTAGATGACAGTGTGTGTAAGTGCTGTGAAAAAAAGGATGATGGCCTGTATTTTTGTATTTGATGGAAATGCACTCTGTGGACCCACCACCCGCAGGGACAAGCATCGGGGTCGAGCCGATCGCCGGCAGCATAGACACCTCTAGGGATGTGGAACGCCACCTCGCTAGTGGGG